TTTTTTTTTTTTTTAATAATCTTCATGCAGGTAGTTTAAAAGGAAGCTAATATTTTTTCAGTGACGAAGGTAGGTAAATCTAGGCATTCTTATATATGCTGATCATTTTAGGGTTCGCACCAACCTTCTGAAATTGGTAATGCCCACTTTTTTTCAGATGAGAAAACTAAGAAAAAATGAAATCGCTTGTTCAGGTCACTCTCAGGGGACATCTGACCAAAGCCAATTAAGTTGCAAAGTGTTTTTTTGAGAAGTGTGGTGGCTCAGGTGTCCCACCAATGGAACAACCTAGATTGATAAAACCAAACAGAAAACCCGCTCACAAAATTAGTAGACTCACCCAGTTTTGCATTTCCTGAACAGGATGGATGCTAGAGAAATCTAGTCTAGAAATAGAGAAAGTCAAGCAGCCTGGAAGCTAACATCTGTGTGAGTTATCCACATGGCTACACCCCATTGGCTCTTGATGTCTCCCCTTGAACAGTTTCTTCATGTTGTGATCAGCCCAGTAGCTACCTGCAAGAGTTGGAGTGGGTCCTTCTTCCCTTCTACGATGAAATAGCATCCAGCGTAGGTTGGCACAAGGGAGCAGATGTTCCCTCTGTAGAACTTTCTGAGAGGTTAGTAGCTTATATCCACCCAGAAGGTTTACCTAAACCCTCATGACACGGGAATGCTAGATAAAGGGGAACCAGTAGCAGACTGTGGCTCTGAATGAAATTACAGCCCATGGAGACCCCTGAGAGACCCCCCTTGATTCCTTTCCTGTTAATGTTGATACTATTTATTAGAGAGGATTTTGAGTTGCAGATGAAATGAAGGACTGTTGAGCTTTCAGTCAAGTTCCCGCCCACTGTCTTCCCATCCCCTCTACCACCACCACCACCACCACCACCCTGTTATCTGTCATACTGAAATTAGTCATCAAATTACAAAATTTGGCAAAATGACCTTGGGGTGTTGGTGATATGAGCACTCAAAGGAAACACGACTAGGAAGGCTCTGTTAACTCATGGCCCAGAAGACAAAGTTCTAGTAACTGGTTAGTGTGTGTTTCTAAGGGTAACCTGCTACCCTTCTTCTTGTTAGGTGCTGTCGTGTCTGTGCAGACTCATAGGGACCTTAAGTACAACAGGCTGTCCTGTGGTTTACTTCTCCTCTAGACAGTCTCCACTCTCCCCCCAGCCTATATGGTAAATAACTTTTTAGTTTAGATCTGGAAGGATCTTTGACTTCTGGTTGGAGCAAAGCTTAGGAACGAAAAGAGAGAGGATCGTTCTTAAAAGAGAGACATAAAATAAGAATTTGGAATCCCTGTGTTTTCTCAACCCGTCTACCAACGTTCTGAAACAGTAAGTTTTACTTTCTTTTTCTACTTAGTTTTCTTTTTCTTTTCTTTCACTCTTTTTCATTTTTCTTCTTTACAAAAAACTTTTATTATAGACAATTTTAGACACATGTAAAAGTAGAGAAATAGTTTAAGGATACCTGATATACCTATCAACAAGCTTAAACAGTCATCAACTTTTGACAAATCTACCTCATTTATACACTCCCCCCCATTCCTTCTACTCCTAGATTAAAGTAATTTCAGATATTATTTCACCTGTAAATATTTCAACATTAATTTATAAAATAAATACATACATATGCATATTCAAGTGCTCATACTATTATCATACCCAAAATTCTTTAGTATCACAACATACCATTATCACATCTAAAATAAATTCACGTGGTAGTGAGTAGGTACTAATATTATAAAATATCTACGCAGTGTTTAGTATTTCCTGATGGTTTCTTTCTTTCTTTCTTTCCGTTTATCTAAAGATCCAAATAAGGTCCTTCAAAAAAAGGATGTGAGGTAGGCATCCTCTAACTTCACGAGGGGGTGAGAGAGAATCACCATCAGCATCAACAGCCCAAGGCTGATTCCTATGAGATGGAGGTCAGACATGCCACTACCCTCCAACCTTTTTACCAATTCTGACATCAATTGTCCCTTGCAAAAGCACTCTCTACCTCTCTGCCGGTTTCGATAATTTGTTGCAATGGCCACACAGAACTCACAGACAATACTCACAGTTAAGGGGCTTATTAGGGAAGTAACAGGTTACAGTTCAGAATCAGAAACAACTCAGGATACAGTTCTTCAATCAGGACAGCTTCTTCTCAGCCATGCTACAGGCAAGCTCCTCTCTAGCCCCTTCCTCTTCCTTGCTCAGGCTAGAGTTACGAGGCTCTTTTAGCTCTACTCACCAGTGCTCAGAGAGGTACCCCACTCTGCCAGCAAGCTTCCTGCCTGAAGGCACTCAGCTTTCTTACCCCATGGGCTGGAAAGCCAGCTGCTCTGTCTCATGCCAGTCTCGGCTCTGCTGCCTCGGCTGCCAGCATCTCAGAGCAGGGGTCATGGGTCCAAGGATGCACTCCACTCTTGGCTCCTCTTTCTGGTTGTAGTAAGATCCCCTCTTTTGCCTCTGCAATGGCTCATTTGAAGTTTAGCAAGATGGCAAAACTGACCAATCCCCACATTAGGGTTCCATATACCTTATTTGCACAGTCCCACCTAGCCATCTGATGGGAGTCAAAAAGACCACAGCTAGAAGAGCCATATTAAGTAATTCACTATACCACAGGTCCATACGTTGAAATTAGTTATAAGTCTCTTAAATCTCTTTTAATCTATAATTTCCTCCTCCATCTCTTTTTTCCCATTATACAGTGAAA